CCACAAATACTTTGAAAGTTAACTGGTGCAATCAAATGCTGAGATAGCTTTTCTCATCTTATAAAGTCGTGAAAAAAACTCTACAGTTAATCCTACAATAAATGCTGAATAAGAAGGCTGGTAAATGATGCCATGTGTTAACATGGTTCTTACAAATGTATTGGTTTTAGAACAGTTATGGGTGAGTTGCAGTGAAAATGCATATAACAGGATCAGAATATGACATGGCACAAAGATAAGCAGGTCAAGAAAACCTTTGACCATCAAAATCACCACACAATGCCAGCAAAGCAGGCCTTTGCTAGGTGAGGCATGAGTCCAACTAACAGGGGTTTAAGGAAACATCTGGTCCAGAAATATCCAAACTTTTTCTTTTCTCCTGTGACACAAAGGAACAGATTAAACCTAACATAAGAGATTCGCAAGCAGTTTTAAGCAGTGGTCAAGAAGCTGAGGCACTCAGCATTAGATGTACTTAAGGCAGGAGTGTGTATGTTAATATTTGTGATAACAAAATCATTTTGTAAAAGTTCAACAAGAGCGGCTGGGACCTGAAAAACCCAATGGAGCCTCTACTATCTTTTTCTGGTAAAAGGGGGCTGTTTGTACCAAGAGGAGCACACTCTTGGTGGATTTGTATCTTTTAATAGAGGTTGTTTCAATCTCTGGCTTTTAAGTATCTCTTAAAATGTTGCAAGATATTTAAAGCAAAAATTCAAGTATGTCTCAAGATCAATTTCAATTTTAAAATAAAGTCTTGCATGCCAAAAGAATGATTATGGGAAAAATTAATCATGCTAAGTTAATGTATATACTCATGTAGAAGGCTAGAAATTTTAGTCAAAAATGACCAAAAAATCCCATGTTGACTTACTTATGAGCAATATACGTACTGTACCTTAACTCTTGTTATAAAAGGAACCGTCCCTTTCCTTGGATAGAGTGGAGGATGGTGTGAGGAAATTGGGGGGGGGGGTCAGCAACCAGGGCAGCTGGCCCTCTGAGGCAGTGTTGGTGCTTTCCCCCTCCATTAAATGACCATTGGCTCCAGAGCCCTGGAGTTTGAATCAGCACTTTGAATCTGGGGAATGGGGTGAGCTCCCATCTGTCAGCTCCAGCTTCTCGTGCGGGGACATGAAGCCTCCCACGGGATGGTAAAACATCTGGACGTCCCCTGGGCAACATCTGCAGACGGTCAATTCTCTCACACCAGAAGCGATGTGCCATTTCTCAAGTAGCTCCAGATACTAAAAAAAACACAAACCACGGGCTCCTCCATGTATCATATGAAAAGCCATATTTTTGGCTCCCAAACCTGCCCTCGACTTATATAGATCAATTGATTCAGAAGTATACACAGTGCTGCCTGACTGAGGCTAGCAAAAAGCAGACACTTGTTTATCACAGCACACACACCTCAGATAAACTAATTTCTCATTAAGTCTTTGTAAAATCCTTCACCTTTTGTCAGTAATGAATGAACAGAATCTATATACCTGTACTAATAATGACACCATGTGGTAGTTCCCAGGAAATGTTATAGATACACCAAGTGGGTGAAATATGTAGCTTAAGCATGACTTTAAAAAAAATGGTGTGGTTGAGAAGAAGAAAACCACATTTGATGGGATCAAACTATATTTCAACACAGTTAATTTTAAAATAGCTGATCATCACTTGCTCACACATTAATAGGAATCTTTGGTTGTCCGTGGTATTAATTATATGACTGATTCCTAGCAAATGTTGAAACCCTATCTGAGCTGGTGTGATAGAACCAGACACAAATCTAAACTGCTTGTCTTAATGTTTAATTTTTAAATCAAGGTAGTGGCACATAATACTACTAGTACTTGCAATACTAAGAGGAAACAAAATGGAAAACGAAGAGTAAATACTATATGTGGCCAAAACTAACAAAATGAAGTTCAACAGTGACAAATGCAAGATACTCCACTTTGGCAGAAAAAATGAAATGCAAAGATACAGAATGGGGATGCCTGGCTCGAGAGCAGTACGTGTGAAAAAGATCTTGGAGTCCTCTGTGGACAACAAGTTAAACATGAGCCAACAATGTGATGTGGTGGCAAAAAAAGCCAATGGGATTTTGGCCTGCATCAATAGGAGCATAGTGTCTAGATCTAAGGAAGTAATGCTACCCCTCTATTCTGCTTTGGTTAGGCCACATCTGGAATATTGTGTCCAATTCTGGGCACCACAATTCAAGAGAGATATTGACAAGCTGGAATGTGTCCAGAGGAGGGCGACTAAAATGATCAAGGGTCTGGAGAACAAGCCCTATGAGGAGCGGCTTAAGGAGCTGGGCATGTTTAGCCTGAAGAAGAGAAGGCTGCGAGGAGATATGATAGCCATGTATAAATATGTGAGAGGAAGCCACAGGGAGGAGGGAGCAAGCTTGTTTTCTGCTTCCTTGGAGACTAGGACGCGGAACAATGGCTTCAAACTACAAGAGGAGATTCCATCTGAACATGAGGAAGAACTTCCTGACTGTGAGAGCCGTTCAGCAGTGGAACTCTCTGCCCCGGAGTGTGGTGGAGGCTCCTTCTTTGGAAGCTTTTAAACAGAGGCTGGATGGCCATCTGTCAGGGGTGATTTGAATGCAATATTCCTGCTTCTTGGCAGGGGGTTGGACTGGATGGCCCATGAGGTCTCTTCCAACTCTTTGATTCTATGATTCTATGTTAAACAATCCAGTACTGAACCATGGTCATAGAAAGTTTATAAACACAGTAACAACGCCTGCTTTTTCTTCTTCTTTTTCTTCTCCGTTTTAAAATTTTTGAACACCCTACCTATTTTAAGGGACATATTTTCTCTTATCATAAGGATATTGTAGTAAGAGTTAAAGGGGATGCAATTACTAAGATGATCTCTAAACATGTATCAACATTTAGCAATAAAAACCCTTTCTAGTACACAATGTTTTTATATACCTGCCAGATTTGCAGTACAGCTCACCTGACAAATATGCACAACAAATACGCACAACTTGGCATCACCCTGCCAAGTTCAGGTAAGACACAAGAACCAATCTCTTTTATTAGTGCCAGTGCAAACAAAATTAAAATCAATAGATTGGTAGTTGTAGCCTTCCACAGTTGTAGCAAATTCTTGACGCAAATCACTACCAAGAAAGACAATTATGAAGATGCTTGCAGAATTTGAAGATTCACATAATAGCAATGGAGTGGTTAGGTAGAATGGAGAATTGGGTATTTTTTTTACATGATAGCAAGATTGTAACTATACTTACGTCTTTGAGCTGAAAGATGAGAAGTGAACTTATATTTCTCTTATTTTTTGTTATATGGGAATGCATTTTGGAGAGTTTGAGAAGTAATATAAGATTTGTATAATAAGCTGAGTTTGTCTTCGTAGTATTTGCAATATGAAATTTATATTGCAACAGCAAAATGTGAATTTTTAAAAGATTAAAACTACAGTACTTTGCTCATCCAGCAAGGTCTGCCTCCCACCTGGAATAATATCCAGGGTGGGATAAAGAAAGAGCCCTTGTCTGTTTTGGTGCTAAATTCCTAAATACAGTAATTTCTACATAACGTTGAACTGCTTTTTCTGTCGATTTAATGTAAAATATGTTTTTGTGCTTAATTTGTAAAATCATAACGTAATTTGATGTTTAATAGGCTTCTCCTTAATACCTCCTTATTATCCAACATTTTCACTTATCCAACATTCTGCCGGCCTGTTTATGTTGGATAAGTGAGACTACTGTACCACCAAGAGTCAAAGACAGAGCTTGGAATGTTAGATTAAAACTGCAATAATGTTGCTCATTGGAAATTCAAAATTCATTTACAACCATAAACATGAATAATTTAAATCGTTAAGTTGGTTACTGTTGTTCAAGTTATTGATGAACCCTTAAGTATGCAGCAACACTATGGAATTCACTGAGAACAACAGGAAGGTTGTTGCTGCTCACCTTGGAAAAGTACATTTGGGTTACTGGTTCTTTTAGAAGCTCTTTTAATTCTTTTAAAGTTGGGTTTCTGTGAGTTTTCCGGGCTGTATGGCCATGTTTCAAAAGCATTCTCTCCTGACGTTTCGCCCACATCTATGGCAGGCATCCTCAGATTGAAGGGTTTGTTGGAAACTAGGCAAGTGAGGTTTATATATATGTGGAATGTCCATAATGGGAGAAAGAACTCTTCTTTGCTTGAGGCAAGTGTGAATGTTGCAATTAGCCACCATGTAGACATTCAGGTGTCAGTATGATTGGGAAAGATGGTCAAAAGCATGCAGTTTTATTTCTCAGCTCTTCTATTCAATTTGCCTTACACCTGCATCTTGTTTCTTTCCATGCCATCAACATAGACACTACTCACTCTGCATAACTCTTGTTTTTAAAGGTTAGTAAGTATTTCAGTTAGAGCCATGTCACTTACTGAGGTGGTTCCTGGAAAGATGCTGAACACAAGTATTCAGAAAAAGGATAAAGAGTTGTAGCCAAATGGGAAGAACCATGGTCAGAGTCCCCAGCATTTTTAAGAGGAAAATGTTTGCTGGCCTCAAGCATTAAGCAGTCTGGGAAGTGCTGAATTGGACTGCAATGATCCTCAGTAAACAAATGGAAAGCTATAAAGAGTACTTAGTGAATTCAGAGTGGAAAAGTCTTAGTCACAAATTCTTAGTCACAAACCCACTCCACATGTACACCAGAAAAATTTTCTGTGCACCCAAATATTTCTGCTTCCCCAACCCCAAGAAAGAAGTGTGTACCTCAAACATCAGTGGTATAGTATAGGTTTTAAAAGATCACACTTCTATCAACTCCACTATGTTCTGCAGTCATGTTACCTTAATACAAGGTCTTGTCTCTTAACCTTGCATTGCAAGGAAAAGTGTTATTTGCAGTCATCTTGAATGAATCGTAGCTCTAACTAAACTCACTGAAGTATACAAAAAATAATATATTTTACAGATTGACAAGATTTCTCTGTATGACCACGTGGGGAAAAGGTTTATCAGAAATTTATTTATTTATTTACTTCATTTTTATCTCACCTTTCTCACCCCGCAGGAGACCCAAGCAGCTTACAAACTCCGGCAAAATTAAATGCTGCGTGGTCATAACAATAAAACACACCCCATCAAATTATAAAACAGTTAAAACATATGAACAATTAGAACACATAAACAATAAAACAGATTAAAACCATATATAAACCATATAAAGTGCAGTGTCTTGATCTCAAACCTATCCAGTCATTTTCCAAAATCCATAGTCATTGTTCAGGCTGTTGAAGTCTAATTCCATAATATCTTATTCACCAAATGCCTGCATGCAGAGCCAGGTCTTAAGCTTTTTTCTAAAGACCAGGAGGGATGGGGCCTGCCTGATGTCACTAGGGAGGGATTTCCACAGCCCAAGGGCCACCACTGAGAAGGCCCTGTCTCTCGTCCCCACCAGTCACAGTTGAGAAGAAGGTGGGGCCAAGAGCAGGGCCTCCCCAGCTGATATTAAAGCTCTTGTTGGCTCATAAAGGGAGATGCGTTCGGACAGGTAAGTTGGACCAGAACCGTTTAGGGCTTTATAGGCCAAAGCCAGCACTTTAAATTGAGCCCAGTAACAAATTGGCATCCAGTGGAGCTGACGTAACAGGGGTTGTACGCTCCCTGTACGCCACTCCAGTAAGAAATCTGGCTGCTACCCGTTGGACTATTTGGAACAGTTTTCAGAAACAGGCCAATGTGGAGTGTGTTGCAGTAGTCTATTCGAGATGTAACAAATGCATGGACCACCACATGTCCTATCGAGAGCAGGCCATACATTTTGGTAGCTTTACCTTTTTGTTCAAATTTGGTAAACCTCCCAAAGGGTGTGACAAGACCCATTGAAGAATGGATGGGGGAAAAACATAATAAAAAGAAGGGAAAAAGAGCTAAGCCAAGAGAGAAAGAAATGGGAAGGAAATTGGGTGAAATGGAATAATTTATTATTCAAGAACCTGGTATCATGTGACTATTTTGCGAAAGAATTGCAAAGAGTTCACTGCAGCTTATCCCAAGCAATATTATATCATTGTTGTATGACATAAATAATATACAACAGAAACCGGTTTAGAATATAATTAGGAGATAAGTTATTGAAGAGAGTCATATTGAGAAATACTCAAAACACCTTCCTTCAATATGGCCTGACATTCTTAAAGCTACTTAAAAGCTAGAGGACCTAGGTCTCCTCTTAAATGAACAAATAATGTCTCATCATTTAGAATACATTTACACTAGCAAGATTCACACAGACTTCCAGAAACACATAATTCTCATTTGTTGCTACCTTTTCGGACAACATCTTCTTGATAAAATATTACCCAAGGAAAACTTGAATTTGGTATGCTGTAAGTGGGCTGTCCACATCTGCTAGGGTTAGGGGCACAGGACCCCCATTAAGATGGGAAAACTTTGAATTATTAAAAAGGCTATTTTACCTGACAGAACACCTCTCAACGAATCTCTAAGTCTTCTAGCATGCTACAAGTAATTCACAGAATGTGCTGGAGGACCTAGAGATTCACAGATATAATATATTAATCAAATCCATGAATAATAAAATCCGGAAAAGTTACGCTCACAAATCTGGAGGGCCAACTGTAATTTTAATAATGCAAGCACTTCTAAATGAATCTGATCATATTCATCAACCTGCAAATACAAATCAAAAGCAAGACTCCCTCATCAATAATGTTTCTGCAGAGAGGAATTCCCAATTTTTAAGAGAAAGCACTGAAATTTTATTAAGGAAGCAAAGCATGGGAAACAATTGCTAAATAAAACAAACCACAGGAGGCAGGGAACTAAGAGAGGTGCGAGTACTAATGTTCCTGGTGTCAAAGAAGTCCAGAACTGTCCTTCTGGAGAAAAACACCCAAGATCAGGGCGTGTTTTCAACAAGGTATTCTAGATCTGGCTGTCGCAATCTCTTCTCTCTGTTTTTGTTTTTGGTAAATTCTATAAGCATCTCCATCACTTCATTCTCAAAGACTTTTGGAGCAGGCTTTGCCTCTGTGGGAAGAAAGCAAAGTAAATACACATTATCAGCTCTGTTACCAGTTCTTGAGGATTCTCTATATGTTCTGCTAAAGAATATTAATATTTCAAATACTCTTATAGATGATGCCACTTCTGTGAGGTTGCACGGGCCTTTAACCATTCAAGAATGTTTCTTGGAAGATACTGCTGGTTATCATCAAAAGTTTGTTTGTTTGTTTTTTCATGTCAGGAGTAACTTGAGAACTGCAAGTCACTTCTGGTGTGAGAGCATTGGCTGTCTGCAAGGACATTGCCCAGGGGATGCCAGGATGTTTGATGTTTTACCATCCTTGTGGGAGACTTCTCTAATGTCCCCAAATGGGTAGCTGGAGCTGACAAAGGGATCTCAACCCACTCTCCCCAGATTCGAACCACTGATTTGTCGGCCAGTAGTCCTGCCGGCACAAGGATTTAACCCATTGCCCCACCAGGGGCTCCTCATTAACACTAACTATAGTTACCAAACTTTCTTATGGATGATTAGGAGGAACTACCACTAAATAAGATGGGTCTTGCTTACACATTTTTGTAAAACTAAATCCAAACTCTGTTAGGTTTCAGTAGTATATCTACTCAAATCAATAGGTCAAATTCGTCATCACTAACTTCAGTTCCCATTAATTTAAGTTAATCTGCTTGAAGTCTGAAGGCATCTGAAGCCACCCTTGAATGCTGAGAATTTACAACAATTAAAAGAGTGAATTTACTGACAATCAGCACTGAAAATAATATCAAAGATCTTAAAGGGCACAATCAATTGGATAACATATGTATGTCCCCCAACCTCCAAAACATGTTAACAGATAAGAAATAGAGACAAAAGTATTGTATGTACTGACAGCTACAACTGAAAAATAATACTTCATGAGACAGGAAATTTCACAAAAATCTAATGATCAGAAAAGGCACCATTCCACCTTACCTGTTGCCCAGTAGTAGATATCCCAGTCATTGCTGGGCTCATTAATCAGACGATCATAAAGATCCAGCTGTTTCTCACTCATTTGATTCAGATTCTCTTTAGCAAAAAGACTGGGGAACACAATAAGACACAAAGTAAATGAAATTGCTAAACATATGCCTACAGCCAGGAAACTGATCAAACTATAGAAAAACAATATACCAAATAAAGACAAATCTCTACATTCTCATATGCCATTAAGAACCAAATTTGCAAAGAGATAGTAAAATGGACAACATTTTGTGGAGACATGCTGAAGTCAAAGAAGAGAATCGGAATATTTTGTATAGCAGGCACAAGAGGTAAAAACAGAATTTGCTGCACAAAAAAGAGGACTGATACGAAATTAAGACAATACTGGCTGTATTTTCAGAGATTTTGCTTGAGAAGAACAAGGTCATTTCTGTGAAAATTGCCAAGTATTTTCAGCAGTAAAGTGCTCCTCATTACTGCTTCTTAAAGTGAGGGACCCGAACCTAAACGAAGTCTCCTTAGCTCACTGTGGGGTCCTGAAAAAATTGGTAAGAGTACACATTTTGAACATCACCTGATGGCTGTTTTAGACATTTTCATGAAGGTATTTGTGCAGTTTTTACAGTGGACTCTGCAGAAGATGCTTCAGCTGTTCTTTATAAAAAGAAAAATCATCCTGTTTAGCAAGCCTTGAAAATGCTGATTTGTTATTAGTGTTTGATTTTATGCTTATTTTATATACCTATATACCCAGGGTCACATAAAAATTTCTCAGGCCGAAAGCGGTCACTAATGGAAAAGTTTAAGAAGTTTTGGGTTACAGACAGGACTAGACTATAATGTTATTTTTTTAAAAAAAAAAGTTTTAATATAAAGCATTAGTACAAATTTGTTAACATATTTGTTGCCCAGTAATTAATTAATATTGAATTGTTTGTATATTACTTTATTTATACCCTGCTTTTTCTCTCAAAGGTATTAATTTTATAGGACTTTCTTCAGCAAGGAATATTCAGAGGTGGTTTTGCCAGTTTCCTCCCTTTGAAATCTAGCCCACAGACTCCCATTGCTGGACTTGTGAGTTTGTTGGCACACTAACCAGTCTGATTCAGTTTAGCTTTCAAGATCAGATTGGTTATTTAGTGTGAATATCTAATGCTCTTTGAAAATGTAAGGGTGGTGAGTTACTTTATTAAAATAACTAAGCTCCGCTGATGATATTCATTTTCTCACCTTCCCACAAACATAATTCTAGGTTTTGAGGGAAATCAAGAGAAATCAATTTTAAAAAGCAGGGAGAGCAAAAGAAGGTGCAGCAAAGGGTTTTATTGCAAATTGGGGGGGGGTGAGCAAAAGTTTGTGTGGGGGGGTTTATTTATTTTTGTGTTAGGAGTGACTTGAGAAACTGCAAGTCGCTTCTGGTGTGAGAAAATTGGTAATCTGCAAGGACGTTGCTCGGGGACACACAGATGTTTTACCATACTATGGGAGGCTTCTCTCATGTCCTCGCATGAGAAGCTGGAGCTGACAGATGGGAGCTCACCCCACTCCCCAGATTAGAACTTCTGACCTTTTGGTGAGCAGTCCTGCCGGCACAAAGGTTTAACCCACTGCGTCACAGAAAGAACCATAGAAACTGAGCCTCTTTATAATCTTTTGTCATTTCTGGTGCATGTCAGGAGGGCTATGAAGATGCATCTCCACTCGAAGAAGGATAGATTTCTCCAATAATCTGGTGCTGCTGCTCCCACTGGGGATAAATGAACTCCTTGGCACACTGTATTCATATGGTTCAAAGGCAGGAATCGGGGGATGTGGGGAAGGACAATGAGAACTGGGGAACAGAAGGATGCCCGGTAAGGTAGGTCTTGATGGTAGTTTACCTTAGAGGTCGTTCACATCGTCATTGGTCAATGTCAACTTGAAGATAGTTAACAACCAGTGCATCTACACTACAGTATTCATGCAGTGCAACACCATGGCTCAATGCTATGGAATCATGGGAGTTGGAGTCTTGCAAAGTCTAGAGCAGGCATGGCCAAGCTTCGGCCCTCCGGGTGTTTTGGACTTCAACTCCCACAATTCCTAACAGCCTACCGGGAGTTGAAGTCCAAAACACCCGGAAGGCCAAAGTTTGCCCATGCCTGCTCTAGACTTTGCATAACTACAACTCCCATGATTCCGGCTGTTAGGAATTGTGGGAGTTGAAGTCCAAAACACCCGGAGTGCCAAAGTTTGCCCATGCCTGCTCTAGAGTCTTTTCTGCCAAAGAGTACTGGTGCTTCACCAAACTACAGATCCCAAGATTCAGTACCATTGAGCCTGGGCAGCTCGCGCGGGACCAATCTGCGTTAATTCCACCGCGTGGGGGCTCCCACCTGAGGAGGAGGCAGTTCTCCAGCATGCCCCTCTTGCGGCTCTCGTAGAGGAGCCGGGCCCGCTTGGTGCTGAGATCCTCCTGGGGTCGGGCCTGCCAGGGTGGCAGCGGGATCTCCAGCATGTCCCGCCCGGAGTCCGAGGGCGCGTCCCCACGGTAGCCACATCTCGGGGCGCAAAGGAGAAGGCGGCGATCCCGGAGAAAGAGGGAGACCCGCTGCAAGGAAGGGAGAACTCTACGTGAATGCCCAGTAGCTGCCGCTCACCCCACACAATTATTTATTTGGGTTGTTGTAGGTTTTTTCGGGCTATATGGCCATGTTCTAGAGGCATTCTCTCCTGACGTTTCGCCTGCATCTATGGCAAGCATCCTCAGAGGTAGTGAGGGCTTGCCACAGATGCAGGCGAAATGTCAGGAGAGAATGCCTCTAGGCCATGGCCATACAGCCCGAAAAAACAACCCAGTGACTCCGGCCATGAAAGCCTTCGACAATACAATTATTTATTTGTTTATTTACAGTATTTGTATACCGCTTTTCTCACCCTGACGGGGACTCAAAGCGGTTTACGCATAAGTAATGGCAAAAATTCAATGTCAGTACAAACAATTACAATGATATACTACAACTAGCTGTCCCCTGCCACGCGTTGCTGTGGCCTAGTCTGTTGATCTGGAAAATAAAGTAATGAGAAAGTGTTGGTTTCCAATATATGTAATTTATTTCTGCTTGTGGGTAAACAGTATTTTTTGTTGTTTCTTTGCCAGTGTTGATGTGGAGATTGTCTGGTTTGCCTACTCTGGAACATGCAACATATCACTGTCCTTCTTTAGGGGTCCCTTTCAAATCTATGATACTATCTCTCTCTCTGTGTGTGTGTGTGTGTGTGAATCATATATATCTATCTATTTGTACCCTAGTATTCAAGATCGAGCAAAGGATCGCCGCCTTGTCGTGGCACTGGAACTTGAGCACCTCAATGATGTCATGAGCAAAAACGTGAAGGGTCACCCAAGACGGGACGGTCGTGGCAGAGAGTCAGACCTGGCGCGATCCCTGGTGAAGGCAATGGCAAACCACCCCAGTATTCTTGCTAAGAAAACTAAATGGACCAGTACAACCAGAGATATGTCGGTATGCCATTGGAAGATGGGACTCCCAGGTCGGAAGATGGCCAAAATGCTACTGGGGAGGAGCAGAGGATAAGTTCAACTAGCCCCAGATGTGATGACGCAGCTAGCTCAAAGCCGAAAGGAAGGCTAGCGGCCGACGGTACTGGAGGTGAACGACGAATCCGATGCTCTAAAGATCAACACACCGTAGGAACCTGGAATGTAAGATCTATGAGCCAGGGCAAATTGGATGTTGTTATTGGCGAGATGTCAAGACTAAAGATAGACATTCTGGGGTTCAGCGAACTGAAGTGGACTGGAATGGGCCACTTCACATCAGATGACCACCAGATCTACTACTGCGGACAAGAGGAACATCGAAGAAATGGAGTAGCCTTCATAATTAATAAGAAATTCGCTAAAGCGGTGCTTGGATACAACCCAAAAAATGACAGAATGATTTCAATTCGAGTGCAAGGAAAGCCTTTCAGCATTACAGTGATCCAAATATACGCCCCAACCACAGCTGCTGAAGAAGCAGAAGTAGATCAGTTCTATGAGGATCTGCAGGACCTACTGGATAATACACCAAAAAGAGACATTATTTTCATTACAGGAGACTGGGAATGCCAAGGTGGGAAGTCAAATGACAACTGGGATCACAGGCAAGCATGGTCTGGGAGAACAAAATGAAGCGGGACGCAGGCTGATAGAATTTTGCCAGGAAAACTCGCTGTGTATAACGAATACTCTCTTCCAACAACCTAAAAGGCGGCTTTACACATGGACCTCACCAGATGGTCAACACCGAAATCAGATTGACTACATCCTTTGCAGCCAAAGGTGGCGGACATCCATCCAGTCGGTGAAAACAAGACCTGGGGCTGACTGTAGCTCAGATCACGAACTTCTTATTGCCCAATTTAGAATAAAACTAAAGAGATCAGGGAAAATACACAGACCAGTTAGATATGATCTCATTAACATTCCTAGCGAATATACAGTGGAAGTGAAGAACAGATTTGAAGGACTAGATTTAGTAAACAGAGAAGAACTATGGACAGAAGTCCGAGACATTGTTCAGGAGGCGGCAACAAAGTACGTCCCAAAGAAAAGAAAACCAAGAAGGCAAAATGGTTGTCTGCTGAGACACTGGAAGTAGCCCAAGAAAGGAGGAAAGCAAAAGGAAACAGGGATAAGGGGAGATATGCCCAGTTAAATGCGCAATTCCAGAGGTTAGCCAGAAGAGATAAGGAACTATTTTTAAATAAGCAATGCATGGAAGTGGAAGAAGACAACAGAATAGGAAGGACACGAGACCTCTTCCAGAAAATTAGAAACATTGGAGGTAAATTTCAGGCAAAAATTGGTATGATAAGAAACAAAGATGGCAGGGACCTAACAGAAGCTGAAGAGATCAAGAGAAGGTGGCGAGACTATACAGAAGATCTGTATAGGAAGGATAATAATATTGAGGATAGTTTTGACGGTGTCGTGAATGAATTAGAACCAGACATCCTGAGGAGTGAGGTTGAATGGGCCTTAAGAAGCATTGCTAACAACAAGGCAGCAGGAGACGACGGGATCCCAGCTGAACTGTTTAAAATCTTAAAAGATGATGCTGTCAAGGTGATGCATGCCATTTGCCAGCAAATATGGAAAACACAAGAATGGCCATCAGACTGGAAAAATCAACTTATATCCCCATACCAAAAAAGGGAAATGCGAAAGACTGCTCAAACTTCCGTACAGTGGCCCTTATTTCTCATGCCAGTAAGGTAATTCTCAAGATCCTGCAAGGAAGACTCCAGCAATACATGGAGCGAGAGTTGCCAGATGTTCAAGCTGGGTTTAGAAAAGGCAGAGGAACGAGAGACCAGATTGCCAATATCCGCTGGATAATGGAGACAAGCAGGGAGTTTCAGAAAAACATCTACTTCTGCTTCATTGACTATTCTAAAGCCTTTGACTGTGTGGATCATAATAAATTGTGGCAAGTTCTTGGTGGGCATCCCAAGCCACTGAAAGAAGAAAGCGCAAAAGCCGGGTTGCAGCTTAAACATCAAAAAAACCAAGATTATGGCAACAAGAATGATTGACAACTGGGAAATAGAGGGAGAAAATGTGGAGGCCGTGACAGACTTTGTATTTCTAGGTGCAAAGATTACTGCAGATGCAGACTGTGGCCAGGAAATCAGAAGACGCTTACTTCTTGGGAGGAGAGCAATGTCCAATCTCGATAAAATAGTAAAGAGTAGAGACATCAGACTGGCAACCAAGATCCGCCTAGTCAAAGCCATGGTATTCCCTGTAGTAACCTACGGATGTGAGAGCTGGACCTTAGGGAAGGCTGAGCGAAGGAAGATCGATGCTTTTGAGCTGTGGTGTTGGAGGAAAGTTCTGAGAGTGCCTTGGACTGCGAGAAGATCCAACCAGTCCATCCTCCAGGAAATAAAGCCCGACTGCTCACTGGGGGGAAAGATACTAGAGACAAAGTTGAAGTACTTTGGCCACATCATGAGGAGACAGGAAAGCCTAGAGAAGACAATTATGCTGGGGAAAGTGGAAGGCAAAAGGAAGAGGGGCCGACCAAGGGCAAGATGGATGGATGGCATCCTTGAAGTGACTGGACTGACCTTGAGGGAGCTGGGGGTGGTAATGGTCGACAGGGAGCTCTGGCGTGGGCTGGTCCATGAGGTCACGAAGAGTCGGAGACGACTGAACGAATGAACAACTATGACATGAGTCTACAATTCACTCAAAGACAGAAGTCAAGGGTGTGCAGAAAGCCAAATGCATTGGATGGCCTTAAGTATTTTCTGTTGGTCTTGGGGTTCTGTGTGGGAAGTTTGCCCCAATTCTGTCGTTTGGTGGGGTTCAGAATGCTCTTTGATTGTAGGTGAACTATAAATCCCAGCAACTACAACTTCACAAATGTCAATGTCTATTTCCCCCAAACTCCACCAGTGTTCACATTTGGGCATATTGAATATTCGTGCCAAGTTTGGTCCAGATCCATCATTGTTTGAGTCCACAGTGCTCTCTGGATGTAGGTGAACTACAACTCCCAAACTCAAAAAAACAAAAAACCAATGAACGAAATGTCAATGGCCACCAAATCCTTCTGGTGTTTTGTGCTGGTCATGGGAGTCCTGTGTGCCACGTTTGGTTCAATTCCATCATTGGTGGAGATTGTAAGTAAACTATAAATCCCAGCAACTCCAACTCCCAAATGACAAAATCATAAATTTTTGAGTGATGGTCACTCCTTGTGTTGTGAGACGTTTTGTTGCCAAATTTGGTGTGATTTCGTTCATTGGTTCTTTTGTTTTTAAGGAACTCATTATGCACAGAGCATTTATATATATACAGATTAGACATTAATCAAATTAAAAAAAATACATCCATGAGCAATCAAACAATAAAACACCGGGCTTGGTCCAGCTTACTCACCCGAGCTGACAGCGCCGCCATCTTGGCGCCTTCCCCGGCCGCTCTAGCCCTCCCTCTTGAGCATAAAGAGAGGCGAGCGCAGCCGGAAAGCAGACGGGGGTGATTGGGTTGCGCGCGCCGGGCCGGAAAAGGCGGACCTTCCTGGAAGGAAGGGAGGGCGGAAGGGGCGGGGCGGCGGCAGCAGGAGGCGCTCGCGGAGAGAGGGAGCCAGAGTGAGGTTCGCGCACACGGCCGCTTGCGTCTCGGGCCTGCTGGGGATCCTGGGCCTTGCGTAACGGGCGCGGCGGCGGTGAAGGAGGAGGAGGAGGAGGGGGCGCAGGAGGCGGCCGCGCGGGAGGGGATGAGGTGCCGGCTCCGAGGGGTCGGAGGCGGCGGCGGTGGGAGGTTTCCCTGGGAGCGCGGGAAAAAAGGAGGCCATGACTGGAGGGAGCGGGAGTGCGCGCGCAGCTATGGCGGCCTCGGCGGCGGTGGCTTGCAAGTGGGAGTAGCGGCGGGAGGAGGAGGAGGAGGGCCTGCTCGGCCTCTTCGCCCCTCCATTCCCTTCCCGCGCGCCCGCTTCCTTCCCCTCCGGGCCGCGCGGCTGAGCGGAGGGGGCGGGGCCGGAGCTGGGCCCTCAGCCTCCCGGGGCCGCCTTCCTCCCGGAATCGTCCGACGGTGGCCGGGGAACTTCATGAGACCCAAGGGCCATCCAATCCAGCCTCCTCCTGCCACACAATTAAAGCACCCCCAACAGATAGCCACCCAGCCTCTACATATGCCTCCACCACACCCTGCGGCAGCAGCGTATTCCACTTTTACCGTCAGGAAGTAGTTTATAATGTTTAGGTGGAGTTAATTTCCCCGCAAGTTGAGTCCATTGCTCCCTTGCGTCCTGGTCTCTAGGGCAGCAGAAAACAAACTTGGCCCTTCCTCAGTGTGACATCCATTCAAATATTTGAACATGACTATTTGTCTCCTCTCAACCTTCTTTTCTACAAGCTAAAGATACCCAATTCCTTCGGCTGCTCCTCATTGGTCTTGGCTTCCAAACCATTGATCATTGAACATGACCATACACCCCGAAAAACTTACAGCAACCCATTGATCATTTTAGTTTCCCTTCTCTGGATGCATTTTAGCATCTCGGTATCTTCCTTGAATTGTGATGCCCAGAGTTGGAGACATCATTCCAGGCGAGATCTGACCAAAGCAGAATAGGTTCTGGCCCAGCTTACTTGTCCGAACGCATCTCCCTCTACATCCCGCCTCACAGTTTAAGATCATCCAGGGAGGACCTGCTCTTGCCCCTGCCAGCATGGCAAATACGGCAGGGACAAGAGACAGGGCCTTCTCGGCTGTGGCCCCCCACCTGTGGAACTCACTTCCCACCGAAGTTTCATCCCTCCTGTCTTTCAGGGTTGTGGTTCTGGGACCAGGCTTTTGGACAACAGACATAGATAGCAGTTTAATATGGAATTTGACTGGAATGACTATATGGCTGTTAATAACTGTTTTTATTGTTTTTATGAATGTTCTATTTATTGTTTTTAATTGTTATTATATTGCTTTGTTATATGTAGTGGCATCGAATTGCTGCTAAATGTAAGCCGTCCTGAGTCCCCCTTCAGGGGTTGAGAAGGAACGAGGTAGAAATACTGGAAATAAATAGAGTGGGACTATGGATTTGGTAGAGGTGGTGATGTGTGTTCCTCTTAGTCCTCGATCTCCAGCTGTGGTTCTCAACCTGTGGGTTTCCAGATGGTTTGCTCTACAACTCCCAGAAAACCCAGCCAGTTTACAAACTCTTCAGATTTCTGGGAGTTGAAGACCAAAACATTTGCGGTCCAACAGGTTGAGAACCACTGATCTAGATACTATGATCCTATTGATGCTGCCTAGAATTGTGTTGGCCTTTTGAGCACTAACTCCCCTCCTCTTCTCCCCTGCACAGTGTGCAGCTCTGCCTCCCCTGTTCTCCTCAGAGGCGCTCCTGAAAATATGTCGGAAGGAGTGGACCTCATAGATATCTACGCCGACGAGGAGTTCAACCAGGTGAGCCCCTGCCAAATGGGAGCGAGGGAGAGAAGGAAGGAAAGAAAGAAGGAAAATTTTCCATATTCAGAATCAACTGAAATTTCAACCAATACTGAGGACTTGTCTACAATAATCATTTAATGCAGTTCAAAGCTACCTTCAAACTTTAGTGATCAGACAACAAAAACCCACAAAACTTCATGAAAGAAAGCCCTTAATGTTCATCTGTGCTAATTGCCATTTGGACCTCAAACTGGTTTCATGAGTTCCTATTTAATGATTTGCACAGTGAAACCACGTTTCTCAATACAAATTTGAAACTGCATTAAATGATATTTGTAGATTCGCCCCAAGATTGGCTACATTTGCCTAAGAGCATAAAAATAGTTAATTGGTTCTCGGGAGAGTTCGAGCTTGATTTATCCTGGGACCCAGTGATTTATCTTTTTCATAGTCCTTGGCATCAATAGAAGACTTCTCAAGCACCACATTTCAAAAGAGTTGGTTTTCTTACACAGTGGATTTGATGCTCAGGAGGGGTTTCTCCTACTGTTAATGTAAAGTGAGTGAAATGTAAATGGTATGTTATGTCAACTTGTAATAAATGTTTTGATTTTGTTACTTGTGGTGAATCTTTTTAATGTAACAATGGGACTGAAGATATCCCTTGCTTCTCAGTCAAAGGGAAGACTGCAGGTTTTTTTAGATGTGGGTTGAGAAGAAAGTGAAACTGTGGTTCAGTTTGTATTTGGGTATGAAGCTTCATAAATGGATTTGAAGGCTTGTTCTATGATGACAGCAGGCCAGCTTTCACATGAGTTTTTATTTGTATAGAGCAGTGGTTCTCAACCTGTGGGTCCTCAGATGTTTTGGCCTTCAACTCCCAGAAATCCTACCGACTGGTAAACTGGCTGGGATTCGGAGGCCAAAACATCTGGGGACCGCACAGGTTGAGAACCACTGATCTAGAGTAAAGTTGGGCTGTAGCCTGTCCTGTCAATAGTACCACGCTGACAAAGTGACAGAACTACAACACCACTCTGTTTTCTTTTACAGCATTTAGCTTTCATGCCTTAGAGTAGCAGGTAAGAGTACCACAATGCAAATTTGGCTTTCTACTTCAATGCTTGTTCATATCTTACATTAGGGCTGTAGACTTTCCTAGGAATAAACCCTCTTGTGTTATCAGTAGACATCTAATTAAGAAGAAATAATTTAAAAAAGACAAGGCATACACAAAGGTTAAGAAATAACTTCTGAATTTATAGTCAGATTCTGTTTTCCCTCCCTGTTAGCACCATACTCTAATGTGTATGGTTATGAATTTTCCATTATTTGGGACTGGTACCAAACTCAGAGTAGAATTTCTTTATATTTTTGCCAGAAAACATTATTGTGTGTGTATATTAATTTTAGCAGTGTCTACATATGTTGCCTGATGCCAGAGTACATTTACTCCGGATCCAGTGTTTAATTTTGTCATCTAATCAGACTGAGAAAGATTTCTGGAGTGTTTTCCCCTTTGTGAGTATGAAAAAGATTGAGATGAACAGAACCCTGGCTCAATATGTCAGTCTTCTCTGTCCCTGTGGCCCACTCAGCTTGCTTACACAGCTGCTCCTTTCTCCAGTAGTATTAGCCCCCAACTGCACTCAAGTCCAGTTGATAAATAGATCATAAATCAAGGAGTTATGGAGTGGGGGGAGACCACAATGGCCAATGCCTAACTCATACCTAATGATTTCTGGTATGTGTCTCTTAAGGATTCCAGTGTTGTTGAACTTGCAGCCATCAGCATCATTATATGGTAAGATAAGTAATCAGATAATGGCTTCTCTGTCTCTTTGGTGGGAATTTCTGCAAATCATCTTCTGGGTTACTGAGCTTGGGTTTCCAAGGCAGATCCCTATCCAGGCCCTGTCTACTAAAACAACCAGGTCATTGCAATAATTTTGAATGTGTGAATGCTGACACAATTTGCTGCAGTATCACACATGACTCTCTAGTGCAGTGATTCTCAACCTGTGGGTCCCCAGATATTTTGGCCTTCCAACTCCCAGAAATCCTAACAGCTAATAAGCTGGGATTTCTGGGCACCCAACAGGTTGAGCCACTGTTCTAGTGCAGTGTGAATTTGCTGCACAGACCATTGTTTTGCTGCCTCGATGGCCCTAGGTGTTGGCTCTATCTTGACTTTTGGGCATGGATGCTACTTTGCTTGAAGAAATCTCTGTGTTCTTGTTTATAGTGGAATACATGGTCAAAGAGTGTCAAGTGTTCTGTTTCTATGCTACCTCCTTTCAAAATGTTCTTTATCAAATGAACAAAAAGGAAAATACAAAATGTTGCTGTCAGTGAATGTTGATAATGGACAGTTGTCTTCAGTTCCTTCATTTTAAAAGCCTTTTCAGTTATGCTAAGTATTTTCCTAGAATTCCTAGTTGGGATTATGATGAAAGGAAAACATGATATACCAAGGATTTGACCCTCCAATTTAGGCATTTTTTTACACATTCCAAAGGGCTGCAGTTGCTTTCCAGGAAATTGGTAGGTTGTGATTATACTTTTTTTAAGTGGGATTGGAAGCAGTTTTTCTTAAGTTGATGCATATCCTTCCTTCAGCTACTCTTGATCTCTGTATGTGCTTGGATTATGTCAACAAAGGAGAATCCCGAAAGAATTTTGTGTGTGTTTACTTTGGCTTCCTTTATTCCTCATTTCTTATAGCATACATGTTAGGAGCCTAGTTTAATTGTGACATATAGACCCCCCCCCCCAAAGTTGGGGATCTTCAGACAAGGCTCCATATAATTCGTGTTTTATTTTATTTTCTCTCTCTGGGTGTCTGTGACTTTGTCATTTGCTGCTGTGACTTGGAAGCAACAAAATGACCCCTCCCCCAGCTCATTCTGTACACTAAAAAGGAGGGTTACTCATACTTTTATCATTTGTCAATGGATTCTACTTCACTTTTCACATTGCCTTAAATCAGTGTTTCTCAATCTGTGGGTCCCCAGATGTTCTGGCCTTCCAACTCCCAGAAATCCTAACAGCTGGTAAAGTGGCTGGAATTTCTGGGAGTTGTAGGCCAAAACACCTGGGCACTCAACAGGTTGAGAACCACTGCCTTAAATATTCTCAGGCAAAATAATGTCTAGGAAAAAGAAGAGAGCTGTTATGCAGCCAGGAAAGACCATAAATCCATACGGTATATATTGTGAGAGTTAGACCCCCCCCCCTTCTACATTGCCATATAAAATCCAGATTATCTGCTTTAAACAGGATTATACGGCAGTGTAAACTCATATAATCCTGTTCAAATCACATAATGTGGGTTATCTGCTTTGATAATCTGGATTATATGGCAGCGCAGAAGGGGGTTTTAGAAATGAGCAATCCTAGAAAACACTGCTACTATGATAAGTGATGCTCATTAAGAGCAGAGAAAAGTGCTAGTGATCCAATAGCAAAATGACTCAGTTTGATAATAGATTATTCTATCACTATTAGCCTATTGGCGTTTCCTTTAGATTGACTGTGCATATCTCATTCATTGATTAATTGAAAATTAGGGCATATTGATATTGATTTAAATTCCACTCATTTCAATTACTGTGCTTGAAGGATGGCTCTGCATCTAACGTACAGTTTGTTCCGTGTGTCCAAAGCAAGTAAAGTTTACTGACTACAACTTCTTAGTACAGTGGTTGATTTGTTCTCTAGATTATTCCAGAATTACTGGATTAAATCTCATCTTTAGTACTAACTATAGTACAATGAATCAGTGGGATTTACCCGTGTGCTGACTCAAACTTTATCTGTCCAGTGGGCGTACTCTTATTTGGAGTAATCACCACCCAAGGTAACTTATTCCACTGTAGAACACTTACAATAAAAAGTTCTGCCTATAGTTTTGATGAAATCTCTTCAAATTTGAATTCATTGTTTTGTGTTTCTGGAGCAGGAGAAACAAGCTTGCTCCATCATGTACCTTACTTCCATTGGAACATTTATCTTATTTTCATGTCATATGGTTGTGCCATCTCTTGTAACTATATAAGAAATAATGAACAAAATATTCTGTAGGCAATACAAGGAATGATCTTTAAGGGGCAACGAAAAAATAAGATTCTGGTGCACCAATACTGCACTTATATTGTTAAATTGTGGCAGAAGCATAGTGCCAAAACTAATATTTTCTGAGCAAGCACACGTCTTCTCAAAGGGAGAACGCTGGGGTGTTTTGTGAAACCATTGGTCCTCTACTACTCCTTGCAGTTAAGAAAAACAACTGTCACTAGTTTTGTTTCTTGTGTTTAGGGAGATTGTGGGAACATGAGAGAAGCCTCCTACAAGGATGGTGAAACATCAAACATCTGGGCATTCCCTGGGCAATGTCTTTGCGGCCAATTCTGTCACACCAGAAGTAACTTGAAGTTTCTCAAATTGCTCCTGACAACAACAAAAAAGAGGGAAGGGGGGAGATTGAATATCTCATATAAGTGCATTATATGTTAGATCTATAGCAAAATAGATGAGATGGAATGTTGGCCATGCTTTCCTTTTGCAAATGTTCAGTGATACCTTCCTGTCTTCCAGGACTCTGAGTTTAGTAATGCTGACCAGATGGATTTGTATGACGACGTACTAGCTGCCAGTTCGCAACCTTCTGAAAGTTGCCCTAGCAGCTCTGAGCCACCCACTGAAAACCGCCAAGAACAGTCTCCCAAGCCAAATAACAAATCACCCGCTATCCTGTATACTTACAGTGGACTCCGCAATAAGAGAGCTGCCGTGTATGTGGGCAGCTTCTCTTGGGTAAGTGAATATGCCACATAGGAGCAGAAAGTGAAAGCCATAATTTAATGTGTATTTTACAGAAGAATCTCCAGTCATGCAGGAAAGTGTGTTTATATTTCATTCTTACTTCAGATCAGTGCTGAGCAAAGTGCAGGCCATGTGGCCGTCAGCCCTCCTTTTTATAGCCCCCCATAAGTCCCTATACTGTTAGAATTTTTTCACCCTACCTCAGGGTTTGTATTCTGCCTTGAAATGTCCCCCGCTCTTTAAAAAAAAAAGCTGATGCCAGTGGAAGGTAGGTGAAAAGGGCAGAACAAAGCTAGCAAGAGATCAGTGTAACTGTTTTTCTGTCACATTTTCATATTTTGTCTGGAAGTATACTCAGAGTTGGGGAACAGAGATGCCAAATTTCCCCGGCCCTGCTATGATTATTCTGTCCTGCTGTAGATCAATAGTTCTTAATAGTGTAGTATTGCTATGTAATGTGTAAAAGTAAGTAGTTTTGTTGCAAGTCACAATTTTCAGTAATTATAAGAAGACTCTGACAAATTTAAATAGGGAAACAGTAGAAACATTTCATTATACTGTAGAGTGGAACTTAAAACTTTTCCACTTGTGTCCCCTTTCGATCCAGGAAATTTTTATGTGACCTCAGGTATACATGTATATAAAATAGGTATAAACATCAAACATTTACTGATAATAAATCAGCATCTGCAAGGCTTGCTCAACAGGCTAGTTTTCCTTTTTGTGGAGTACAGGTGAAACATTTTATGCAGTCCACTGTAAGCACTTCATGTTATTCCTAACAGATTCATATAAATGGGTGGCATTCAGAAAACCTTTACTGTTGCCAGATTGTTCGTGACCCCAACATTGGCCTAAGAGGACCCCATTTGAGGTGGGGAACCACAGTTTAAGAAGGTCTGCTGTAGAGTATTAATGTAGTAAATGATGGGCAACCTATGGATCTCCAAATGTTGTTCAAAACGTTTTGATGCTGCCTAGTATATATGGTAATTAAGAATACTGGGAGTAAACCCACAGAGCCAGAACACTGAAAGAAACCTTTCATTATTTCCTACAAAGCAAAGAGCAGAATGTGATGTTCTTGATAGTATGGCACATTCCTGTATTCGTAAGACTAGTCCTGCAGTACTCATCTGACCAAAAAATATCCTCTCTAGGACTTTTCTGGGTTCTTCAGGCAATTGTGTGGTATGCTTTTCCATTGGAAGTTATCACAGAGTCACTCTGGAGGACATAGCAAATTAATAGAGAAGGTGCCTATCATCCACAGTTTCCTGTTTCCACAGTACATTCGGGAATGTATCCCCCACTAATACATGGTTGTGCTACAATATAATTTTGAGGCAAGGGTGAGCTGCACCATTTCCAGGCTAATTAGGGCTCAAAAAAGGTGCAAGATGTGAGCTTTTTTCCATGTCAGGAGTGACTGAGAGAATTAGCCGTCTGCAGAAACATTGCCCAGGAGATGTCTGGATGTGTTACCATCCTGATGGAAGTTTCTCTCATGTCCTCACATGCGAAGCTGGAGCTCACCCTGTCTCTCGTATTTGAATCCCAGTAACCTTCAGATCAGCAGTTCAGCCAGCTCAAGGGTTTATTAATCCATTGTGACACTGCAGCTTCTAAGATGTGAGCTGAAATAATTTTAAAATAAGGAGACTATCCTCTGGAAATGTTTATGAAACAAGACATTTGAAATCCCAAAGATCAAAGTCTGTGCTGTATCCAGCAATCGGTAATCCCTTTTCCTTACATACATAAATAGGTAGAGCCTTTCAGCAATTCAAAATAATCAGTGTAATCCAGTGCTCCTTTCCCTAGAATTAGTGGGAAAACAAAATTGGGAGTTTGAGGAGTTCTTGATCATACTTAAACAGTGTTGCTGATGAAAGGGGGTGGGTATCCTACAAAAGGTTTTTGTTTATATCTTTTAACTTCCTGCCTCTTCATATGCAGTGGACGACTGACCAGCAGCTGATTCGTATTATCCGCTCTGTGGGTGTTTATGATGTGGTGGAGCTCAAGTTTGCTGAGAACAGAGCAAATGGCCAGTCCAAAGGGTGAGCACTGCTAGAAGTCTACCTAAAAGGATCCATCATGAATGTTGGGAAGTGGATGTTGGGAAGTGCAATCTAATGAACAGGGTGCCTGATGGTTCTGTGTGATGTAGGCAGTCGTGAGTCTGGTTTTCCTCCAGTTTTTAAGGTACTGAAGAAATCTTTGTGACTGTCCATTTCCACCTCCAGCAACAGTGTTTGGGTGTTAGGCGAGAGGAGCTGATGTTTTCTCCTGTTGTTCAGGCCATGCATGTATAAAGATGTGTTGCTTTTGCTAGTCCTTTCCTGAGCCCTCTTCCCCAGAGGTTTCTGTTCATCTTGAATTAATTTTCCCATGGCTCTGCGAACAGGTATGCAGAAGTGGTGGTGGCCTCTGAGAACTCTGTCCACAAACTTCTGGAGCTGCTGCCAGGGAAGTTTCTCAATGGAGATAAGATGGATGTGAAGTTGGCGACTCGACAGAATCTTGCGCTGTTTGAGGCACAGGCTCGGAAACGTAAGTTTGATGGGGTGAATGTTGTATTAATTGTATAAGTATTTTTATTGTATCTTAACTTAATTAATTGCTTTTATATTGTTTTAATTATAGTATTTGTCATATTTTAAAATTTATTGTGTTGTATCATGTTATTGTAAGCCGCTTTGAGTGCCCATGGGGAGAAAGGTGGGGTAAAAATAAAGTAAGTAAAGACATAAATATACTGGCTACATAAAGAAATAAAGAGTGGGGAGTAAGGACATTCTTGAATAAGAATGTCCCTACTCCTTCAAGTGAGATTCTTGAACAGAGCTTCTTAGGAGACAGGCACAAAGTCACCGTTGAATAGTATATGCATACTTATTCTTGCCCATCCCCATGACTTCTGATTAAGTAAAGCCCGTTAAAAATTATGATCCCAGTTTATATAATGTGAAGGTATTTTAATAGTTTGTTGTTCATCCTCCTTTAAACTAAATTAGCTCTCATGCTTGAGGCTGCTGTTATAGTTGAGATAACACCATAAGTCTCACAGCTTTCCCTATTTTGTGATGTTGCACAGGGGTGCCGCCGAGGACACACTCAAGGGATTCCACAGACTCAATCGATGGCCGAGCCACTCCAACGGAGAATACTGTGCCTCCCCCGCGCATTGAGAAGCCTCCTTCTGTTTTGCCTTTCTTCAACCGCCCTCCTTCTGCCCTTCCACTCATGGGGTTGCCGCCGCCACCACCAATCCCACCCCCTCCGCCACTTTCCTCCAGTTTTGGAGTCCCTCCTCCCCCACCAGGAATCCACTACCAACATCTAATGCCCCCTCCCCCTCGACTTCCCCCGCATCTCGCTGTTCCTCCTCCTGGGGCCATACCCCCCGCACTGCACCTCAACCCAGCCTTCTTCCCACCACCAAATGCAGCAATGGGTCCTCCACCAGACCCCTATAGCAAGGCCTCTGCACCATATAATCACAACAGGTGAGAAATTTGAGAAAATGGGAATTGAAAACTCACAGTATCTTAGCATATTGGTTAGCAAGACCAGAAAACATAGTTCACTAACTATCTTTGTCAACACATCAGTATACTAACACCTGTGTTTTGGAAGAGCATGAAAGATACGCTGCATTGATTGTTTTACCCTATATACCCATGTATAAGTCCAGAAATTTTAATTTAAAAAATAAACCAAAACATTTGTGGTGACTCTTCTATGGGTCAATGTGAATACTGCACCTTATCAAAATGGAACCATAGTCTTCTCTGAATAGAACAGTAAAATGAAAGAGCTTTTGTATGTCCTGTGAGAACCATTTAGAGGACCATTGATTTCCTGTATTCTCAGCACCATGGCAGAGTTCCTGGCCTTTGGATGTCTAGGCAGGGAAATAATGGTGGTCAGAGGCAGCTACTCTCACTGAGGTGGAATTGGTGCTTTCTGCTTTTACAGAATGACCCTCAATATATCCACACATCATATCAAAATCCATTATTTGGATTCCAAAATCTCCCCTTGACATATGAGTACAGTCATTTTATTAGCTTTTGTCCTTGCAAAATGGCAGAAAACTCCTTAAGTTTTCAAAGTTCTGAAGGATGCTGTATATTTTATTCTCTGCTTTGTAGGGCTGGGGGAGATAAGGTACACAGCAAGTGAGGAATTAAATATTTTACGGCCCTTGTTCACTAGGTATTTAGATAAGGAGCCTTATCACTGTTTTGATTGAATTAGTTGTATGGTACTGACTACTGAGTGATGGGTGTATATTTGTGTACCACAGCCGGGAGTTGATTCCATTGCAGCCTCCTCTCAGCGAAGCTGAATTTGAAGATATTATGAACCGGAACCGAGCAATTTCCAGCAGTGCCATTTCCAAAGCTGTGTCTGGTGCCAGTGCAGGTAAATGACGCTGCTGTTACTTCCTTTTACGCTTTCCTCTTAGCCTCCATCTTGACAATATTGTCTTTGTTGTTGCATCCCAGGGGATTATAGCGATGCCATCGAGACCCTACTTACAGCAATTGCTGTGATTAAACAGTCGCGTGTCTCGAACGATGAGCGGTGTCGAGTCCTTATTTCTTCACTCAAGGATTGTCTCCATGGTATTGAAGCCAAGTCTTACAGCGTGGGCGCAAGCGGCAGCGGTGGTAGTTCCTCCAGGTATGTTTCAGCAAATATACAGTATGACTGCTGTGTCTTTGTTGTCGGTACATGCCGGTTTCATTTTCCCACACCTGACAAAATATGTCCTCTTTAGCTCCACCAAGCAATTTGTTGGTGTGCTTCTCCTAGCAATGCCTAGCAATGCCTATAGAGCAGTTGTTCTCAACCTGTGGATCCCCAGGTGTTCTGGCCTACAACTCCCAGATATCCCTGCCAGATTACCAGCTGTTATGATTTCTGGGAGTTGAAGGCCAAAACATCTGGGGGCCCACAGGTTAAGAATCCCTGGTATAGAGGTATTCTTACTAGGCATTTTTCAGTGCCCTAGTGCAACTTCTACTTTGTAGGGATGACAGAGGTGCACATCAAATGGGTTTCTGCTGAATATTGTTATTTCACTAGGGTTTGTTAATACTCATGGTTTTGCATATCATTGTGAAGTCCTGGAATATATGCTTTGCACCTATGGCAGTTGTATTTCAATTGTTATCTTTGTTGAGGATTCAGCTACACATGTCTACTGGTCCTTACAGCCTGCTAGCTGCTTGCCATTTTCTGTAAAGTCAGGGAAATGAAAAATAGTAAAGAAAAAGAAGGAGTGTTGGCCAAAAGTAGAAATTGTGTTTTTTTTTTAAATTTTTGTTATGGTCCAACACATTTCTTATACGTTTGTTTTACAGCAGTCACGTAATACTCAATACAATCTAACATACATTAACTTTTGGCATCTACTGTTATTTTTACACTTAGGCATACTTTCTATCCTTCACCACTGTGTTCCCCTCCCCTCGAGCCACTCCTTTTATATATCATCTGTCCAAAATTTAATTTCCTCTTGTGGGGGTAACTTTCCATCTTTCTTTTTGAATCCTTTTACAATAAATTTTCTCCATACATCATCAAAATCACTTTGTTTCCATATCCCTCTTTTAACTTTTTAGCTTGTCATTTATTGCCAGTTTCCATGCTTCCTTATACCACTCTTCTATTTGTATATTTATTTCTCTTTTCCAATTCCTTGCTATAAGCAGTCTGCTATTGTTAATAAGTTTGTTATCACATCTTCATCCACTTTTTCCTGCTGTTTATTATTATAAAATGATAATAAAGCAATACTAGGACTTCTTTCTATTTAATGTTCATTATATCCTCAATCTCTCTAAATACTTTTACATATTTACACTGCCACCACATATGTATATATGTTCCCGACTCTTGGCACCCTCTCCAGCAATTTTAATAGTTTTTTTAATTTATATTTGCTATTTCATTTGGATACCATTTGAAAAACCTATCAATATGGGTTAAAGAAAATTGCTCTAAGTTAATATGGAAATGGTATCTAACACTGAAAGGTTATGTTTAAGATACCCTCATCCTGACTGTTTGAATCATGCTCCAAGAAGACAGTCTGTACTTGTGGTAGGTGAGGTAGCAAAGCAGCACAATACAAATGGAAGATAGTGTTGAACAGTAAAACAGAATAAAATGATCCTATATGTGTTGATATGATTTTCTCATGGAGAGAGTAATTGATTTTTTGCAATTTGGTAGTTTATGGATTCAAACGTTGATTTGAAGTTTTTAAATTGAGACTATGTGGATTTATTAGTCTGACCTCAAACATTCCTTCCATTTGTAAATCCCAATCCTGCCACAATACTGCTGCAATCTCAAGAATAAACACAAGGGTTATAAATAGAACTACATTCGTAAATGGAAAGATGTTTTAAAATGTTAAATTTTAGATTTTTTTAGATATTAGTATGAAAACATTTTTTCTTCATTCTCCAAAACGAAGTTACAGTTTTAAACAAGAATATGAGGCATTTTCTCTCATTTATAATAGTTTATGAATGAATTTTCATATTGATGTCATTATTACAACAGTTTCATGAGAGATGGGTTTCTTTAGTTAATGTTCTGTAAAGCTCATATTGATGCGCTTTTCTTGACCCCCCCCCCCCCCCCCCCACCCCAGAAGATAATTACATTCAATTCCCTATGATTAATGTAATGTAACTAACGTATATTTTAAAACTTGAGGTTATTTTTAGAGGTCTTTTCTAGAGGTGGAAGCACTTTCTCAAAAGTTTGGTTTTATTTTCCAGGAAAAGACACCGGTCTCGGGAGAGGTCCCCCAGCCGTTCCCGTGACAGCAGTAGGAGGCACCGAGATATGGTCCATGATGAAGACTGGCACGAGGAATATTTCCAGGAAAGAGGCCGGGAACATGAGAGACACAGAGACCGGGACAGAGAAAGAGACCGGCATCACTGAGAAGAAGTGAGGTGATCTTTTGAGAGCTCTACTCCTTCCCCCAGTACCTTTCCCAAACAAACCCACACTGTATTTACTTCACATATCATCCTTAGTGAAGATTCTTACTTGACATGGTCCGTTTGTCCCACGTTCTGCAAGACTTTGTATTGCAGAAAGTTCATGCATCTTTGTCTACTATGAACAAATACATAATATATTTTTGTATTCTCTTCGACAAATTTTCTGAGAGTTAAGAAATTTCAAGTGGAGAGGAAGTTACAGTGGTCCCTCACTTATCGCGGGTGTTACATTCCAGGACCACCCGCGATAAGTGAAATTCCGTGAAGTAGGGATGGCCCCTCACTTTCCCCCTCGCCCTCCTTACCTTCCTCTTTCTGGTCGCCGCATGGGGCCTGAAACGCCTCATCAATCCTCAACGTTCCCTCGCTACTTAAATTCTTTTTTTAAAAAAACCAGCCAGACAGCGAGTCTGCGATAAGCGAGAGACTCACCATAAAAATTTTTTGTTTGATTTACCTACAATCTGAATAGTTGTTCCTCTGAGATTAACTGCTTCTGTTCACCTTCATCATAATTCATTTGTTCACTTTGATATTGTAGCAAATAGGTTTATTCTGTAGGTTGGAAACAGATGTTGTCATAAATGTTAAGGGCAAGTGCTCAGTTGGGGGAAAGCAAGTGTTTGAATATTGGGGGGGGGGTTACATCAGGAGCTACTTTTAAAACTGCAAGTTGCTTCTGGTGTGAGAGAATTGGCTGTCTGCAAGGACATCGCCCAGGGGACACCTGGATGTTTGATTTTTTTCCATCCTTGTGGGAGGCTTCTCTCACGTCCCCACATGGGGAGCCGGAGCTGACAGAGGGAGCTTAACCTGCTCTTCCAGGATTCGAGAGAATATTTAGTATGACTTAATGTTTAGAAAGTTGAGTCTGGATTTGAACCCTAATCATGAACAAAGAATGCTTCTTCTCTCCTTTCCCTTTTGTATATAGAAATATCAGCGAAGGTCCTGAGATTTAGTCCAGAGTTTGGTCCTTTCTAGAGGGCGGTCTTTAATTAGGCAATAGGAGTTACTATTTTTTCCTACTTTGTGTTGTCTTTTTAGGAGCTTCGGAAGCATTCGGTGTTTTTATGGACTCGTTATCTCCTCTCCTTAATCAAGACTTAAAGAGTGGAGGCTTCTCCATCCACTCCTCCCCACTGCCCTCTCCTCTTTCTGGACCCCTTGGAAGTGACTTCGCCTGCAGAACTCCATCTTGTGGCACCAAGCCCTCCCTGTCTGTGTTGCTGCTTGATGGAGAAACTCAAATGACTTGGGACTTGGAAAGGGGAGTTTTCCTGAGCCACTGTGACCAGGGGGCCACTTCAGTCCATGGATTCTTGGACCTAAGGAGAATGGTGTTTCCCACAGAGGTCTCCAGCCTCTTCCCTTACCAAATCTTCTCCTAGAGCACCTGAGGAGGAATCCATCCGGCTTTTCTTCTGTAGGAAGAACATGGTGCTTCTGCACAGCACAAGATGTAACTGGGGCTTGTGTCCACAGTCCGCACTGTGTTGTCTTCTCAGGCACCAAGATGTCCAGTCCTCCTGAAGTCTCAACCTTTTCCCAAAACAGCTTTCAGTCTTGTCTTCTAGCACCATTGTGTACAGCTTAAACACAATAGTATTTCCTCTCTCTCTTTCTTCTGGGATGGGGGGTGGGCTGGTTGCTGCTTCCAGTCACCTCTCTGGCCTCCTTTCCCCACTTAGTCCCTGAACCAAGGCACCTAGTTGCCTCTAGAGGGGCCTGTGTTAGTCAAACTGCTCACAGTGTGGAGTTTCCCTTAAAAAGATAGATCGAACTCTGGCTAATGCAGGCCCACTCACTATCCACAGATGATTTGCTAATAGATTCCTTATTTTGTTTTATACTGTACCTGCTCTGGTTGCAACTTCTCTCTTAACCCTCTTGTTTCCAGGCACCACCCCTCCCAGAGTGTCACCTTCCTTGTTACAAAGGAAGCGCTGTAAACTGAGACCTGACCAACGCAGTAGCCTGGAATGGAGTCTCAGTCAAACTGGAGGGCTTTCTTGAAGTTCTCCCTTACAGTACACCCTGAGCAGTTTTAGATTCAGTGTGATGTATGTGTTGATTTAAGGTCCAGAAGTTTCCTCACACACCATCCTCATTTTACATTTAAGTCACTATGGAGGGGGTTCACCCATGAATTTGCTTCAGGCAGCAGCATACCTCACTGATTTCTGGCATCCCAGTCTACAGTTTGAGGCAGTGAAAAGCCTCCATTCACATCACCTTTGTGTAACGGTGACAGAGTCATTACTAGGGCTTTTGAGTCAGCAACCTCTTCAGGCCAGTGGCATTAACATCTACATAAGGAGTATTATGGAACAGAAATAGCTACAGAGTTCTGATAAAACTCATCTCTGGAATGAAACCCTTGAGGATAGGGTTGTTTCAGTTCTCCTTCCTAGACCGAGTAGCTTATGATAACACACTGTATCCTGGAATAAGTAGCTTCCAGCACCTGGATCTCTGACATGGCCACACTTCTATTAGATTCATGAACGCTCAGTGGGATTGTCCGGCTGCATGGTGAAACCCCTTCATAAAAGGATCCTGTCTCGTGTCACAGACGTTGTGTGGCCTACATAAGGATGGATGGTGTCTGTCAAAGGATGACACAATGTAACGCAATACCTCCTTTTGTACTCTGAGAGGTATTCCGCTCAATTTTTTTAAAGGAAAAAAAAGTTAATGTAGAAAAATGGAATGGCAACTTAAAACTGTAAAGCATAAAACTTGGATTGGAAATGTTGCTTTTTACAAAATGGGACGTTTTTTTAGTTTGTTTTGAAATAATGGAAGCAAAAAAGAAAGAAACGAATGACAGAAACATAGCCTTGTTTTCCCCTTGACTCTTCCACCCTTGTTCTTTGTGATTTAATTTGTTTGTCTTTTTCTGATAGGTTGCAAATTGTGTAATAAACTTGATGATATTGTCAATCTTTTATACTGCATTGTATGGCTTCTTTTTTTTCTTTTTTGTAACTTAAATGGGGGCAGGGTGAGTTGTTTTATAGAATAAGATTTTCGGGTGGGTGGTTATTGTGACTTAAAATTGGCATCGGATAAATAAAGACAGATTTTGACTGGGTGTGTAGCCCTTGTACAACCATGGCTTTATGTAATGCTAAACTAGTTAAAAAACCACTTTATGTACAGAAATTAAAACGCCTTTTTAAAAGCTTAACATTCTATCTCATCATTATACTTAAGTGACACCAGGCTGTCTCTGCACTTTGTTCCTCTGAACTTATGTGTCTGAACATAAGTTGCATCTCTGAGAAGCTTGTATTTCTGTGGAACTAAAATAAACAGCCCTAACTCATTTGTAGGTTCATGTGAATTTTGAGGACAGGCATTTGAAGTTCCATTATGACCCATCACTTGGAAAAACATATTTCTAACTTTATTATAAGGGCAAATAGTATTTATTTATTCTATTAGGTTTTCCCTGTCATAGGTAGTAAGAGGACCTAAAGCTTTGGGGAGCTTCTGTTCAACCTTTTCAAAACTCCTTGATTGAGCGGTGATGGCACGATCATCAGCATAGATGAAACTGTCCCTTCTAGCAGTGGCTGATCATTGTGAAACATCAATGGAGCAAGCACGCTCCCCTGAGGCAGACCATTCTTCTGTTTTCGCCATCTGCTTCTTTGGCCCTGGAATTCAACAAAAAAACTCCTTTTTGTAGTGGATTTCCTATGAAGTGGGTGAAGTGGTAGTCCTTTGTGATATTTTAAGTTTTTCTCAGGAGAAAGCAATGATTTACAGTATCATAAGCTTCTGATGGGCATACGAAGACAGCTCCTGTGATCTGCTGCCTTTCAAAGCCATCTTCTATGTACTGAGTCAGGTTCAGCACTTGCGATGTGCAGCTTTTGCCTTTCCTGAAGCCAGCTTGTTGTGGAATCAGACATGGGTCTACTTTTTTCCATAATTCTATGCAAAATAAGTCTCTCTAGAACTTTGTAAAGATGGCACAACAAGGAGGTTGATCTATAGCTTTTTGGATCATTATGGTCTTTGCCTGGTTTCAAGATGGCTATGACTTGCTTTCCTCCAGATTTTGGGGATCTGACAGGATGCAATACGTTTGTTCAGCAGCCAGCACCTTTTGGACCACAGTTCTTAACCAGCTGATTCCTAATCCATCTAAAACACAGATGTGTGCCTTTCATCTTAAGAATAGACAAGCATCCCAAGCTCTGAGGATTACCTGGGAAGGAATCCCACTGGAACACTGCAGCACATCCAAATACGGGGTTACCCTGGACCGGGCTCTGACTTACAAGAAGCACTGCTTGAATATGGAGCAAAAAGTGAGCACTAGAGACAATTATCATATGAAACCTAACTCACAATCTGGGGACCAAAACCAGATACAGTGAAGCCATCTGCTACTCTAATGCTGAGCACGCATGCCCAGTGTGGAACCCATCATACCATGTTAAAACAGTGGATGTGGCTCTTAATGAGACATGCTGCATTATCGCAAGATGTCTACGCCCTACACCACTGAAAAGGGATGCAACTCTCAGAAAAGATGAATTGGAAGGGATTTGAATAACTTCCACATCAAACAATGTCAATAGCAGAAGGAGGAAATGTAAACTTACGGAGAGGTGCATCTATTAAAAGATGTGCAAAGTCTTAATAAGGGTAATTTTCTCATATTTATTTTTAGATTTAGTTAATTTGCCATTCTTATTTATAGCCTGGCACTTGAAAGTGTTTGTCGGTCAGCCAACAAAGCTTGCTCTTATTGTAATAATAACACATCTTTATAATGTTGGTGAAATAATCTAACGATTATATGATACAGAATAATACACTTATGATTTTTCGTGCTTAAAAGTAATGTTAACACTGCATTTCTCCCTCTTATTTGTTCTGAGCTCAATCTGCCTATCAATCGATAACCTTTTCATCATCCTCCCCTTTACTTACTGGGCAAAAGAGGTGGCTGCAAAAGAAGTATGTGAAAAGGCCTGCAAAGATCCAGCTGATTTCATGGCTCTTTGTTATGGTTGTTTCTTCCTCCACTGACCACGTTTCTTGAAGGAAGTCAGGTCCCCATAAAATATTTTGCATTACAGTTCCCATAATCTCTGACCATACTCTTTGGTGCTTAAATAGATACATTATCAGCACACCCAAAGATCAAAGTGCCTATCCCTCAGTGTCAGAGTACTCCATAGAGCAGACACGGGCAAACTAAGGCCCGGGGGCCGGATGCAGCCCCCTGGGTGCTTGCCACAGGCCCTCCTCATTTTCTCTGTCCTCTTGGCACAAGGACACGGTGGCCCACCACGTCCTTATGCCAAAAAGACAGGGAGGAAGGCATGCAGCAGCTGAGAGCCCTCAGTGACCATGTATCTTGCCCTCCTCTTGGCATAAGGATATTGTGAGCGGCCCCATCCTTATGTCAGGAGGACAGCTGGAGGAAGGCGTATGACAGCTGAGAGCTCTTGGAGCGCACTCAGCCACCGCCTGTCTTGTCCTCCTGGCATAATGCAAAGAGGACAGCTCAAGGATCAGGGAAGGAGGATTGGAGCAGTCGCCGTGTGACCCGCCTTCCTCTTGGTATAAGGATGGGGAAAGCAGCCTTGTTCTTATGCTGGGAGGACAACCTGATGATACCCCAGGCCCTACCTTGTCTTGCCTTGCCTTTTTCTGGCCCCACCTTCTCCCTCCCTACCACTCATTGGCCCACTCCGCCTGAGGTGTGACCTCCCCCCAATCCCAACCCTGCTGGCAATGAGGCCCCAAGGCAAAAAAGTTTGCCCATGCCTGCCATAGAGGTTACATGCAGCCCTTGAATCCAACTTAAATGAGTACTCTATATACTCATGTATAAGTAGAAGTTTCAGGGAAATAATAGATCCAAAAAACCTGGGTCGTCTTATCCACAAGTCAATGTGAATACTGTAATTTTACTCTTACTTTTTAAAAGGAACCATACCTTTTTTCTGAGTAGAGTGGCAGAAGATAAGAGCTTAGTCCATTCTGGATCCTAAATGCTTCCTTTGAGTCCTGGAGGTCTCATTACTTTGCACTCTGCTTTGTCTTAAGTGGGCCTTGCAACCTTGTTTGTGTATCACTGCTGGATTGTGTGGTCCAAATGAATCTAGTACTTTGTTAAGTAGGCTGGACTCCTGGGTGGGGTTTGATGGTGGGTTTGCCTGGTTGCTAGGCACCCATTGTGACCTCATAGCCCAGGAGGAATCTCAGATAGTCCCAGCTGGCTACTCTGCAGAGCTGGTGTCATTCCAGCCTTGGTTAGCCCCACCATGACTGTCTCCCTAGAATTTGGCCTGGTCAATGCAGCCAACCGATACCTGACTGCTGAGCCCTTCCGCTTCCAGGTGTCAGCCACCGGCAAGCAGCTGAAGCCTCGCCAGGTCTGGGTGCTTCAGTTCCTGAGCCCTCATGGCGCTGGGGCAGCCGGCCCTGGAGAAGGGGCTGGCCAGAAGCTTCACTTGGTCAGTGCCCTGAAACGCTACTTGGCAGCTGACCCAAATGGCAAAGTCACCTGTGACCAGGATAAGCCGGGACCTCAGACCTCCTTCCTTCTCCATCAGTATCCAGATGGCAAGGTGACATTGTGCAAAAAATATTCTCAAACTGGGATTCTGCTTAGATGGGGTGAGGGTGGAGAGGATATGAGACCAATAAGCTATATTAATATGCTCTCCAAGTTATTCTATGCTGTCCCAAAGTGTGGGTATCTAATATCTATTGCACTAGGTAGCACGATTTTTGTTCCTGGGTTTATTCTATCAAAAAAAAAAAAACATGGAGAAGATTTATTAAAATGCAAAAACTTTGTTTGTGCAGGACATCTTGCAACACATTTTGCTATAGTTTTTCAATGAATATCTGAACCAATTCAACATAATTTGTGGCAGCCACAAAAACAAAGTTTCTGGAGTATAAGAACTACAGTAGTCTCTCGCTTATCCAACCTTTGCTCATCCAACACTCTCTATTATCCAATGCAGTCTACCACCCACCTGGATCCACAGCTCTTTCAATACATTGCGATGTTTTGGTGATAAATTCGTAAATACAGTAATTACTATATAACGTTACCCTGTATTGAACTGATTTTTCTGTCGATTTACTGTAAAACACGATATTTTGGTGCTTAATTTATAAAATGATAATATAATTTGACGTTTAACAGGCTTTTACTTAAACCCAATATTTTTGCTGATCCAACGTTCTGCCAGCCTGTTTATGTTGGATAAGTGAGACTCTACTGTACTTTCAAAGTAAGTGCTGCGCAGTTACACAGTTACACAGTTCCCAGAATGTCCCAATGTAGTCCCAGAAATAAAACTTCCAAATTCTGCACAATCACATGGCCTTATCTGATCTGTTCTGGTACCACCTTCAATGTGAATGAGGATATTCCTCTTCTTTCTCTCTCAAGTGATCAAGTTCCCATTTCTCCCTCCTTCATGACAGGTGTCTTTCCAGAATGAACAGTCCAAGCGCTACCTGGGCGGCGCAGAGGAGAATGTCACTTGCTTTGCCCAGGTTGCCACGGAAACTGAAAAATGGACCTTACACCTGGCAGTGCACCCCAACGTCGCAATGTACAACCCCAACAAAAAGCGTTATGTGCGCTGTGATGAGAAAGCTGGGGTGCTGCGCTGTGATCGCGACATGCCTTGGGGAGCTGAATCTGTCATCACAGTCTACTATGATTTCAGAAGTGGGTAGAAGAAGCATGTTCCCATTTTTATTTATTTTTATTTTGTGTATGTGTGAGAAGCAACTTGAGAAACTGCAAGTTGCTTCTGGTTTGAGAGAATTGGCCATCTGCAGAGACGTTACCCAGGAGATGCCCAGTTTACCATCCTATGAGGGGCTTCTCTCATGTCCCCGCATGGGAAGCTGGAACTGACAAATGGGAGCTCACTCCACTTCCCAGATTCAAAC